TTTTTCTTCCCAAAGCTCCAGTAGATAGTTGTATGTCATAGCTGCACATCCCTCTAGTTGCTGTATGTGGGACATGGCCTCAGCATGGCCGGACAAGCGGTGTGTCGCTGCATGCCTGGGATCTGAGCCCCGGCCGCCAGTAGCAGAGCATGCACACTTAATTGCTAAGCCACTGGGAAGGCCCCATACATATTTTTTAAAGTTCAGATCAGGCTGAACAATGACAATTTGAGCTGATTTTCTGAACTTCTGAGTTTACTTTATTTAAAAATAACTACATTTTGGTTTATAGTTTATAGTGAGGTACACTGATCACAAAAGAGAAAGAGAAGATCTCTGCACTGGTAAACTTATGAACCCCTTCTTCACTGCCCTAAAAAGGTGGGGCTTAATGGTGGACTATCAGATACTACTGTACTCCAACTTGGTGGAAGAAATTTGGGGGCAAGATCTCTTCCTGCAACATCTGTAAGTAGACTATGCAAGCAGTCATCATCTTTGCTATTTAGAGCATGCTCAAGCAAATGTCAGTAAACCTAATGTTTCCTTTGAAAGGACAGAAATCAAGAATTAGATTTGCAAATCCTCTTTTTGGATGACACCCTTAATAATAATGAGGCAAGGCAGTTGAACAAATGAAGAGGAGGAGACTTCCTTCTGTGGTCCTGGTTGGGAGAAGGAGAGCCATGAGAGGCAGAGAAGTAGGGACAAAGCTGAATATTGAACTCACCCAGCATTTTCTGTGGTCAGAGAAGTTAGTGATGCACTGACGTGGCAACACTATCGATGTGCATCACTGCAAGAAAACCTTTGAGAAGCATAAAAATAAACCCTGACCAACGAAAACATTGGTGAGATAGTAGGAACAAAAGTTCTTGTCCTCCCAAAGCTTGTATTCCAGTTGGTGGAGGACAGACCAGACGTAAGTAAAGAAGCAAACTATATAGTATGTCAGGTGGTGATAGGTTCTTTGGTATAAAATAAGCCAAGTAGATGGGGCTGGCCCCATGGCGTAGTGGTTAAGTGCACGCGCTCTGCTGCTGGCAGCCCGAGTTCAGATCCAGGGCGCGCACCGACCCACCGCTTGTCAGGCTATGATGTGGCAGCATCCCATATAAAGTGGAGGAAGGTAGGCACAGATGTTAGCCCAGGGCCAGTCTTCCTCAGCAAAAAGTGGAAGGATTGGCATGGATGTTAGCTCAGGGCTGATCTTCTTCACAAGGAAAAAATAAATAAATAAATAAAATAAGCCAAGTAGAGAAATGGAAGAGGGGGAGCTGAGGGTAGGAGTGGAGTTCTAACTTCAAATGCAGTAGTCGTGGAAGAACTCTCTGAGAAGGTAATATTTGAGCAAAAACCTGAAGAAAGTAGAGACATTATTACAGACATTCAAGAGAGAAATGATGGTGGCTTGGATGAGTCATAATGGTGAAGATGGTGAGTGGTGGTCAGATTTTGGAAATATTTTCAAGGTGGAACCAAGAGGATTTTCTGGGGCAAGTTCATCTCCAAGATTTTTGGCCCAACCATCTACAAGCATTGAGTTTCCATTTGCAGAGATGGGGAAGAAAACAGGAGGAACAGATCTGGGGGAAAAGCGGGATTTCCCCCCAGAAAGTGGGTTTAATGTGGATATTAAATTTAGATGCCCTATTAGATATCTGGTTGGACATGTCTAATAAGCAGTTAGATATAGAGGTTCAAGGGGGATGTTCTGGTCTAACTATAATAATTTCGGATTTGGCATTGTAAATATGCTATAAAGCCACAAGACTGGATGCGATTACCAAGAGAGTGAATATACAGAGAGAAAAGAAGAGGTCCAGGAAATGAGCCCTTAAGCACTAGACATTTGGAGGTAAAGGAGGTGACAAAAGAGGAGCCAGTAAGATAGAAGGAGAACCAAGGAAGAGTGATGTCCCATAAAAGACACAGTGAGGAAAGAGTTTTCAGGAAGAGCGAGTGTTCAACTGAGTTAACTATTACTGTGGGTCAAGTAAGATGAGGACTGAAAATTGACCATTGGATTTTGTAATCTAGAAATCACTAATGAACTTGACAAGAGCATTGTCTTAAGATATTGCCATCTTCAAGTTTTTACATCCCAATCATAACCAGAAAAAAGAACATATTTCATCATGTTTAAATGTCGTCATGGTCCAGTTGAAGGTTGGGCAAAGGTAAGACATTTTTTAGTTTAGCTGAACTATAGTAAAACTTGCCTAGGTGACCGTCTGTGTTTGAAGACCTCTTGCATAAAAGGCTACATTTTCAGAACTCAGACTTGATTTCCTACAGGAACATTGCATTTTGAATCTGCATTTGCTCCAGGCAACTACAGGTGGCTTTCAAAGAGTACTGTTAGGTAGAATAACCTGTTTGAAGAGGTTAACGTCTCTGAATACACTGCAGCACTTTCATGAGACAAAATGCTTACTAAGAAAATGTGGCTCTTGAAGCTCCTGAGGTTTGAAAATATGCACAGAATCACTCAACCTCTGGGACGGTGGAGGTCCCTGCTAGTCATCCTAGGATGCCTGCAGCATCACTTTGGGGATCCGGATTAAAAGACAGAGAGAACACAGAGCTATTTTTTTCTCAGAAGCTTGACTCTCCAGGAATTTCATTCTTCTTCAGAAATCACAAGCAAGTAGTCAGAGTATGTGATTTGCTATGTGACTTTAGAAACACCTGAAGCCACATATGACTTGTCTGTGGACGTGGAAGGGACGAATCTCATATGTGTTATTGATACGTCACAAAGAGGGACAACAAATACAGATGAAACATAGCTTCCACAAGTTTGAATGACTGATGGAATACAAGAAGATGAAATTTCTTAAGAATAAATAAAAGTCATTTAGGTCTAAATGCATCTCATTGGTTTAGGGTGGAAGAAGCGGGACTCTGTGGCACCATGAGTGACAATGACTCAAAGTGAGCCTATCATGCAATGTGGCTGCCCCAAGGTCTATGTAACATTAGGCTGCCAAACAGAAGAACATAATGTAGGATCAGGGAAGTTATAGTCTTGTGTCTCTCTGCATCGTCAGGCACATCTAGGAACCAGATAAGCAAATTTATTCCAAAGCAAGCAAGCAGCTGATGAAGTGTCTGAAAACTATGTCACACGGAAAACATTAAAAGAAACTGGGTATGTTTGAAATGATAAAAGTGATGGCTTGGATGATACAAGATACTTTTCTTCAAATATTTAAGTGTTCTCAAGAAGAAGAGAGATGTAAGATTTATATTAGTATGGTCTTGAGAGTTACAATGCTGCCAATGAAAGAAAGCTAAAGGTAATCATATTTTATTTCAGCATAAGGAAACAACTTTTGGGGAAGTTCTGACAAGACGGAGTTAGCAAGTTCTTCATTCCTGAAGGTATGTAGGCAGAGGTTTGAGCCACTGCACTTTGCAGGCACAACCGTAAAAAATTCAGTCATGGAGTGAAGCTCCTTCTATAACTAAGAAACAGTAATCCTAAGAGGACAAGATTCTCAAAGTCTAGATGCATGATGGATGATAAAATTTATGTAAATTGCCTCTACAAATCAAATATTCTCTAGGAGGCAAGAGGTCGGTGACATATTTATTCTGAACGTTATCTTGGAAGCTCCATGTTCTTATACAGCCAACACAAGATACGCTGAGATAACCTTTCAGACAGTTCTGGGAACCAAGCTTTGAGAAACCGTTTTCAGAACTCTCCTTGTTGAGACAAAATTGATTATTTTAAAAAGATCAACTTTAAATCCAGGAAGTCTCCATGTCTTTCACAGTGAGTCAGCCAACTACATCCTCTATCCAGTCTGTTGTTCATTGCATGTGTACCATGGCTGGGAAATACTGAGCCAAGATCATGAATTGGGTGAAGTCTGCCTTTGTACTTTTTAGTCCATATCCTCGCCCTTGAATATACATGGACAATGACAGAAAGACTCCATGTTCTCATTACAGAGTGCATCTTTTGTAATGGGAACAAACTCCTCCGCAAGCATTCCTCATACATAACAGCAAATACAGAATATTTTAATTTTATAACTAAGAGATGATATGAAAAATATAATTTTCCTTAAACTTATACCAAGAATTTTCAGAAAGAGAAGATTTTCCAGAACTTCCTCCCTATAAAGATAACAATTGAAGCCAAGCATTTTCATGAGGGTTAAACAGTTTCAAATAGTGTGGGGGAATAAAGAAATTAAGTCAGGAACTTGGTTTAAAAACTCTGTGATTTTCTAAGTTGGAAAAAATAAACGAAAGGAAACCAGAACCCACTGGATTGGCATCTCCTGAATCTATTTACCAGGACAGTTAGCACCACCACGGTCAGTATTAACCTTATGGGTCACTGCATCTGGAAGCCAGTCAGAATAAGTCAGCATCTGTTTGTTATTTTGTATATGTAGTAAAAATATTGCCTTGGGTCAATTAAATTTTTCTTCAAAAAGTGAACATTGCCCCAGTATAATTTCCCCTTTTCTCCTTTAAAAAAAAATCACAAAACAACTTGCCATTTCATTTAAAATATTACATAGAACTAGTAGATGCCATACCTCATTGTCAAACAGGTCCATGATTTGTAATGAATATTGTGGTGAGGGGGAGACCCGGGAATAGTTTCTAATAATTCTTAGCCATTCGTACATGGAGTAAGGGATAGGCTAAGACTGGTTTTAATTTTACTTCATATAAAGCAGAGAAGGCTATTTACCAGATGTTGTCCTACTTCAAGTTACTCTAAAATCTTGGGGTAAATTATAGCTGAACTTCAAAGTAGTCTGTTGCAATTACCTCTCAGACATTTTCAATGCATGATGATAATAATAAAAAGAAACGGGCATGTATTGATCACTATCAACAGCAATCTCTGGAACGATGTGTCGTTAGGGATTTTGAAATACATTTCAAGCTGTGATTTGCTAGAGAAATTAGATCAGTTAGTTTATGGTATCTACCAAGTTTTACTGTTGTTATTTTCCACATTTTCTTTCTTTTTTTTCTTAAGACACCTAGGTAGAATATCTATTTTCTCCAATGCAACCTTGAAAATTATGTGTTTGGATAAAATTGGTGATTTATAAACATGCTAAACGTAAGCATGATTTTGGAGCAAGTGTGAATTGCATAGAAAGGAGGCCAAGGAAGTAAAATACTAAGAATCTACTAAGCACAAAACATTGTACGAGTATTTGGCATTGACTACTTTCATGTCTAACAGTCCTTTTTTCCCAAAAGATTCTCTTTCAAATAAGATTTACAATCAATTTCTGATATACAACAAATGGTAATATCGTAATAGTATTTTGTAAACACCAAGATGAAAATCCATTTAGATGTGAGCTATGGGCTTATTTTTTACTTCTCTGCATGAGTGAAACCCTGGTGTCCTATGAATATACTCAAAATTAATTAATGCACATCACTAGCCACTTCTTTTTTCTCATCAGTAGGCAACCAGCAGCAGAAGTCCTGAGGGGTGATTATGTTTCATAACAGGCAGAAGCAGACTGGCTGTTTCTGTTTCTACTCTGCTCTGAGGCATAGCACTCCTGGGCGCCCTGCCTTCTCTCACCTCTCAGACAGTTTAGGCCTTCATAGGGCCTGTAGCAGTCACATCGGTAACTAAGCCACAAGTTGGTGCAACGTCCTCTATTTTGACAAGGTTGGCTTTCACACCAATCCTTTCTCACACAGCCTGCCTTGATGTTTAATGATGAGCCAGATGAAATGTTCTCTGGGGTAATATGATGTGAATCAATTTTAATGTCTTGGAGACAGCCTACAAAGGAAGGTGTGGATGGTCTATTATAGATGTTAAGCAGAGCAACACCATTGCCAGTCGTTCCCACTGGCAAACCACCCAAAAAGGAGTTTGGAAAAGTGCATATGGATCCATCCCTTTCAAATGGAGAAGGAGCTTTAGTGATGCATTTCTCCTTACAAGAGTTGTCCAGTAGAGTAAGGGTCACAGCCTCTGCAAACACCACCTCCAATGAATGCCACTCTCCATCGCTGGTATTATGGGAAATGTACAGAAGCACCTTTGACTGATTATTGGCTTGAATTGACAAGTGAATGTAGCCACTCAGCAACTCCAGCATTACAGACATGTCCCTGTCGCCTCGGAGAAGTAGAAGTGCCCTTGGCTGAACAGTCTGAAACCTGAGGGCTATGCTACAAACCGAGCCCTTGGCTGTAACTGAGCCACTTGTGACCCTCAGGAAGCCATTGCCCTCAAAGGAAAGCGTGGTGACAATTTCACACAGTGACCCAGTATAGCCAGATGGGCATACACAGCTGAATCCATGCTGGCCATTTTGGAAGTGAGGGATGCATGTTCCGTTATTTAGACATTGGTGATGGGTACAGCCCAGGAGAATATCAGAACAGTCCCTTCCTCCATAAAATATTCCAGAATGGTTATCAAATGGACAATGGCAAGTATAATTTCCAAGTAAGTTCTCACAAGTACCACCATTTTGGCAAGGATTTGAAGAGCATTCATCGATGTCTTCTTCACAGTGGATTCCTGTTAAATAATAAAGAATAGGTTGAAATTACATATATTCAGAACAGAGATAGAAGTTTCACATAATCTTTATGTGTAATCTTGCAGAAGTGCAGAACTAGCTCAGGTTTGGGACTGTAATGGAGTGACATGTGAATAGTTATTGAGAAAGCTAAAATCGATTGTATCGTGCAGAGAAGTGCAGACATGGCAGACATTGGATTCTTCCTCTAGAAATAACTTACTTACCAGATATGGTGGTTGACTCAAACTACCATTGTCAGACACATATGTGACTGAATATCATAAAAATGAAAAAAGAGAAAAAGATTGGTCTTGGCAGTGATGCTAGACAGGAATTATTTATTTGAGGACTCCATTTTCCGATACTATTTATCCCGTCCTGGATGCTGATTTCACTCTATTCTACTGGAAACAGTGATTTTTGCCTCTATCTTGTTTGCGGCCCTAAAACCAAAGTTTCCCAGATATATAGACAGTCTAGACAACTCACACCGTGGAGGGCTTCTGAGACGAATGGAGGGCCCCATTTCTCCTCTCCACATTTCTAGTATAAACCGTGAAATCTATCCCAAAACAAGCTCTGGATGATATATTTGACTTCACTTTCTTTTGCTCTTTCTTCTGATTCAAAGTCAAAGAAAGATCTCTAATTAGAGAATTATTAGAATTCATTTACTCAAAGGCACAAGAAGAAATATAACACCTTTTAAGAGTGATAGTTATTGCTTTTCCAAAGGAGTCCAAACGAACCAACAGTGTTAACAAAAATTGACGTATGTATAGCACTTTATGGTTTCCCCGACACCTTCATCCACATTATGTGTTTGTGCTTCCCACGGTCTTCCGAGGTTTTCAAGGCAGGTATTCTCAGCTCTCTTCCACAAAAGAAATCGAGGCTTAGAAAAATTGACATCTAAACTCCAAAGCACTTCTACAATCTGGTTTCTAGGGTGTTAAATTTCAATTGACACTCAGTTTTTTAATTGATACCTCAGTGCATTCTCGTTTATTGTTATTACTAACATGTGTGTCTTATTTCCCATTTAACTCTATGCCTAAATTTATGTTTTTAAAAATTTAATCAAAAGGCTCCTATATTATAATGTAGGAGCTGAATCCCAGCTAGGCTGTGAGCAGGCTACCTTCACTTTCTGCATCTCAGTTTCCTCATCTATGAAATGGGGTTAATAATAGCACTTACATTACAGGGATTTTTAAAGATAAAGTGAGTTAAGACATATAAAACACTCGTAACATTGCTCGATATATAATAAATTCTCAATAAATGTTAGGTGTTATTAAAAAGTAATAACCAAAGGAATTACCCTGTAATAACAAAATTCAAATAGCACTATGGCCATTGAGAAAGGCTATGTAGAAAGTGTGGGCATATGGCGTGACCCACAAATTGCATGACTTTACATAATGAAAGTTTTACTTGGACAGCACATTAGGCTAGAATTTCATTAGATTGGGCTCTTCATGAGGGAAGGGAAAATGTCTCCTTTATTCACTCTAGTATGTCTAAACCACAGCACAGTTCCTGGCTCACCTTTGGCACTTAGTAACTAATTTTTGAATGAATTAACGAATGATGACCTTTGTAAGATGATTAAAAGTTTTATAATGGGGCCAGCCTGGTGGCATAGCGGTTAAGTGCGCACGCCTGCTTCGGCAGCGCGGTACGGATCCCTGGTGCGCACTGACGCACTGCTTGTCAGGCCATACTGTGGCGGCATCCCATATAAAGTAGAGGAAGATGGGCATGGATGTTAGCCCAGGGCCAGTCTTCCTCAGCAAAAAGAGGAGGATTGGCGACAGATGTAAGCTCAGGGCTGATCTTCCTCATAAAAAAAAAGTTTTATAATGCTTTTAATCTGATCTAATCTAAAGTTAGAAGTGCTCTTTTTGTGTACATTTTCACATAAATTTACCCAATGTTAATCTCTGCCCGATGCCATATACATACTGTACATTTAGATTCTGGATTGGATCCTACTTTACTATGTTTGGCTCTGCTTGGATTACTTTCATACAATCTTTGTTAATCCAAAAATATTTTGAGCTCTGTGCAAAGAGTGAAATTATTATAATCTTAGAGTCTCCCATGGCCCCACACGGTGCTGAGCATACATGTGTCATATAAAGCTTGATGAGTAAAAAAAAATAAAACTAAATTGAACTTATTTGTTATATAACCATCCTTACAGGTACAGAGAACTGACACAGGAATTACAGGCTGTATTCTGTAAGGAGTCTTCTGATGCAAATTTAATTTAACTAAATTTATGAAAAGTTAAAACCTTTGTATTCAAAGATATCTTAAATTTAATTTCCACAGGATTTTGAGAAAAAAAATTAATCAGCAAGCATTTAATTAAGAGAAATATTGAACAGCTCATGAATTACAATCAAAGCAAAACACTTTTTTCTCTCACTGTGCCTTTAGACATATTTAGTGGAGGGAAGGTTTCCTTGTGTCTGGATAAAACCTCCAGCAGACCCTAAAATTATTCTGTTCACCCCCAGTAATAGTCTCATGATCACTGCAAAAAAACCCACAGTAATTAGAATGGCCAGTCACATACATTGACCAAAAGTCTCAATGCAGTTTAGCATTAAGTCTTCTTTCTTCGTTTCCTAGGTCAACTTCAGGCTGTCTTGAAGGAGGACTTGGAAGATTTCTTCCCTTTTTTTTCTTCTACTCTACCCAATTCCAGACTTCTGAGTGTTAGAAGGGCTCAGACAGTTTTCACCTGACTGGTACTGCTGTCAGGTGATTCCACGCCTGCTGAGCCTGGCAGCTGTTTTGAGTTGACATTCGTTCTGGGGGCTATTTGTGAGTTCCCCGGAGCCTCCCCAGCTCTGTTCCTCCACCTGAGGCTCCAGAGACCTGTGAGGCAGGCAGTGCCTCTCCTTGGACCAGCTGCTCTCACATTGCCCCTCCCCCAACCTCTCTCTGTTGGGGTTCCCTCACCTTCTGACAGGCCTATTGTTTAGGATCCCTTTGACACTGACCACTGACTATGTTTCTTCCATGAGTTCCCTATGTGGACCTCAGGATTCCTATGCCTTTGACCTGCCCTTGGAGGGGAGTGCATATACTTTCCTGTACAGCACAGCAGCAATCCTCTTTCGCTCTCTTTCCTGCTGCCTCAGGGTAAAAGTCACACTCTTTCATCTTTAGATTCCTCAGGTAGGTGGAGAATCCAGTCTAAGTTGCCCATTCCCCCTTCCACCCAAATTTAGGTGAGACTGGAGTTCTCCTTGAAGACACTCACTCTACGTGGGGTTAAAACGTAACTTCCAACCCTAGATTTGCTGGGTGGAGTACAACCCACAGCACAGCCAAAAGTCTCTTCTAAGAAATCTCTTTGTAGACTCACTCCTTCAAATTGCCTCTCAGGAATTTTCACATACGCTGGAAATGTGTAAACATTTCAAAAGCCTGAAGCCTGTTATCTGTATTTATTTTGACATTCTGCATTACAGTCTCTCTCATAATTCACTTTGGTATGACAGTAACCATATCTTGACTTCTTAGTTGAAACTTCGATTTACCGTTTTCTCAAATTTACAAAATACCTGCTCTGTGCCCTACCCTCACAGAGGATTGTGAGAGATGCAAAGTAGCAGAGACAGACCTGGTCTCAATATGCTCGAAATATAATGGAATCCCAAAATGCATCTTTTTGAAAATACATCATACACAGCAGGTTCCCAGTGAATATATGGATAACACTTGAGGATGAAACTCAGGGGACATTAGAGAAGATTTAGCAAAATTTTAGGGAAAAGGCATTGAATGAGAGAAAATCATAAATCGTTATCTATGAAAACTCAATATTATAAATTAAATCAATAAACAAACATTAATTACATATCTACCATGTATAAAATACCGTGTATAATGTGGAGTAATAACTGGTCCCTGCTCTCAGTGATTATAATGCAGAAGTAAGACAAATTTGTGAAAAATTAAATGATAGTGTAAGTCAAGACAACACCAAAGAGATATCACTCAACAGTATATCATGGATTCCAAGAGAACTGTATAAGCAACAGCTGCTGCAGAGTCTCTGCAGAGAGAATCTCTTCAGACCTGGCTGGTCTGCAAAGGCTTTATGGAGATAGGACTTTTAATGTATGTTGTCAAGCACTGATTGGATTGACAAAGAAGTATGTGGAAATAACCAAATAAAAAAAACTCATCAGTGGAAAAGCATTAAGACATTTAGAGGTGACAGTGAGTTTGGCAATTCAGTTGGCATGGAGGATTTATATAGGAAAATCAAGTCAGAAAGATTAAATACAGCCAGATTGGAGAAGGTCTAGGAATTTACAGTCTTTATTGTTTTGTTTTATTTTTATTTATTTGTTTACTTATTTATTTTGTGAAGGCCGTGGAGAAAAATGGGTAATTGCTCGATAGAAGACCAACATGGTTTCTCATAAAGATCAATACCCCAGGGAAATGTCACAGAGTGAAGTGAGAAGAAACCAGAGACAGGAAGTCCAGCTAGACAGCTATTAAAATTGTCCACACCTACGATCATTAGGGTCTGATATAGGACATTTATGTCCTTACAATTTACTGGACCCTTTCATTTATCTTTGGTCAGCTAATAAGTGCAAATGGTAGTACTTTCTTTACTGTTGCTTACTGTGTTTTTTCTTATAATTCTTAAAATGTACACATTTGATCTGTCACAAAATATCTACCAATAACTTGCTTATGTATTTCTTGTAAATATAAACAGAGAAAATAGTTTTAAATTTTACCATCATGGAAAAAAAACCACAAAAGAGGAGAGAAAGCCTATATTAAGGTCAATAGTCTGAAGAAAATAAGCAGAATTAGATACCAAAAGTAGAAACATAAGCAGTAATTTATACTTTTACCTTGTTTAAAATCAGTTCTATTGACATCTCCAATGTAAAATAAGGTCAGACATATTTATTTGATGAACCCAGAAAAGTAAAAGCGAGAAGAAAGA